CTATAAAAAAGAATATTAACAGAAAGGCAGGAAGTGAGGATAAACTGCAATAGGGACATGAAATGTGCCCATTCCTCCCACAACCTGCATGTGGAAGTTGGATCAACAAAGCTATATTTTATAGTCAATTTGCCACTATCAGGGGGAGGGTATGGGGAGACAGGTTCTACCAGGCATGGAAAATATCCCATTAGCACATTGGCTAGAAGAGGCCTTGGCCAGCCAAGCTCACACTGACTCCAGCCAAGGGTTTTAGGTGGATCTACACTACACTGGTTTCTTCTCCTGGAGGGTTTTGGGGGTTGGAGAGGATCCTTCAACTCTTACCCACAGCTAAAACCAAAGAACAGGTTATGGTGTGTACCGGAGCGATTTCCTCCCACCTCCATTCCCACTTCAGCCCTGGGTGCCTTCAAATTTAACAAGCAGAAGCAATGGGCTGAGACCAATGGTGTGAGGCTCAACACAGCCAAGTGTGAGTCCTGCACTTGGGTCACAACGACCCCACTGAGTGCTCCAGGCTGGGGCAGAGTGGTTGGAAAAGGACCTAGAGGTGTTGGTGAACAGACAGGCGAACACAAGCCCAGGTGTGCCAGGTGGGCAAGAATGCCAACAGCCCCTGGCTCAGACATGGAACAGTGTGGCCACAGGAGCAGAGCAGTGACTGTCCCCCGTGCTGGGCACTCTGAGGCACCTCCAGTGCCATGTCCAGTTCTGGGTCCTCCCTGCAAGAGACACTGACAGGCTGAAGTGTATTCAGAGAACAGAGCTGGGGAAGGGTCTGATGCATTAGTCAGAAGAGGAGCAGCTGAGGGACTGGGGGGGCTCAGCCTGGAGAAAAGGAGGCTCAGGGGAACCTTCTTGTTCTTTACAACTCCCTAACAGGAGGTGCAGCCAGGCGGGGTCAGGCCCTGGTCCAGGGAACAACAGGACAAGAGGGAATACCTCAAGCTATGCCAGGACAGGTTCAGGTTGGACATCAGGAGGAATTTCTCCATGGAAAGGGCTGTCAGGCATTGGAATGTGCTGACCAGGGAGGTGGTGGAGTCACCATCCCTGGAGGTGCTCAAAGAACAACTGGATGTGGCACTCAGTGCTCTGGTCTGGTTGACAAGGTGGAGATGGATCACAGGTTGGACTTCATGATCTTAGAGCTCTTTTCCAGCCTCAGTGTTTCTGTGATTCTGTAAAATCTCAATTACCCCAAACATTTCTAACCCCTCAGACCTCTGGCACCATGCAGCCCATTCCCAAAACAGCTCTTTCATTGCTTCCCCTTTCCCTTCTCCAGGTCAGCCCCTACTATGGTATCCCTCATCTAATAAACCCACCAGACACCCATTGTATAAATAAGCATAAACTAAAAATTATCTCCTTCTGCCTCAAAAAAGGGAGCAAAAGCCTTTAGTGTCCCTACAACCACCTGCTTAGAGGTGGCTCCAGTACTGAAACACTCAGAAAAACTCACCACAGACAACTAAAGGCATAAATTTAAAGCAGGTTAGGCAAATTGCACAAAATATCTCTGCCAATGCTCTTACTCAGGATTGATACACTTAACACAATTAAATTAGCCTTTGTTTAATTAAGTAAATTAATATTTGTGAGCAACTAAATTAAATTCACCTGAATTCCAGATTAGCTTTTCCACACACAAGTTTATTGTAATTTAATTAATCTATTTTAAAACATTAATTCAGAATAATTCTTCTGAGCATCCCCTTGCAAACAAACCTATTTACCAAACTATCTGATGGCTTTGCAGAGTCACAGGGCAGCATTCCAAAGGGGATAATCAAAACCATCCAACGACTTGTTAACATATAAAAACATGCACAAAACATAAATCTTCTCCCTCATACTAATTACTGAGAGTAAACATTATCTTTAAAACAACATTTTCCAAAGCTCCAGCCTGCTTGGAGTGATTCATTGAACTTCTCTCACTGGAGCAGCT